CGGAGCACGCCGGGTTCCCACCGAACCAGGCTCTCACATCATCAAGCGCGATAGCGATAAGTGGGGGGCGAAAGCACGCGGTCGCCTCTGTAGAACCATCGCCCTCTAGTCGTGTTTCAACCAGGCTTCAACCCCTCGACCGCCCAAAGGGCCACCCATCTCTTCGTCCACGGCACTACCTCGTGGTAGATTTCTCATGTCCGAACCCGAAAATGCAAGTACGGGTCAAAAGGGGGGAGGGAATGCCTGCAAGGGTGGAGATTCCGGAAGGTGTGGCTGAAAAACCAACCAATGTTTCCCCATGCCTGGTAGACGTGGCGAGGATTTATTCATTTTCTCACGACATATGTAGGCTACTGCTACAGTTTCGTGCACCTCCAGCGGAATGAATCACGCGTAGGCTGCATACTGCAATCGGTTAGTACACCTCCACTGGAATGAATAGTCCGTGTCGTTGACGATTTCTGTCCATTTGTCGTGTTCTGCCTACAGCAGAGTGAGAGTGAATACTCCGTGTTGTTGACGAATGTCTGGTCACTTTTCGTGTTCTGCCTGTAGCAGAGTGAAGTTTCCGTGTTGTTGGCAATTTTCCGTCCATTTGTCGTGTTCTGCTTGCAGCAGAGTGAATACTCCGTGTTGTTGACGAATTTCTGTTCATTTGTCGTGTTCTGCCTGCAGCAGTGAATAATCCGTGTTGTCGACGATTTTCTGTCCTTTTCTCGTGTTCTTGCTGCAGCAGAGCGAATACTCCGTGTTGTTGACGAATTTCTGTCAATTTTTGTGTTGGGCCCGCAGCGGAGTGTGAATATTCCGTGTTGTTGGCGATTCTTCGTCCTGTTTCCTACAGCAGACGTGTTGTTGAAGGATTTCTGCCCATTTCTCGTGTTCTGCCTGCAGCAGAATGAATATCTACTCCGCGTTGTTGACTTTATTTTTGTCCATTTCTCGTGTTCTGCCTGCAGCAGAGTGAATGTTCCGTGCTGTTGACCATTTTCTGTCCATTTCTCGTGTACCGCAGGGAGGAAGAATTGGATCAGTATCGGGTTGTGGACGGCGCCGTGGGGCAAGGTGCACCGCTGTGGACAGAGCCCAACTGGCGAGGCATCGGCGCTGAGGTGGGTGGGAGCGAAGGCGAAACAGTTTTTACCAGTGTGAAGCTAAGGGTTGCAGTTGTTGTTGTTGCAATGCCTTCAAATATTATCTGCAGCAGATGGACGGGGAGTGAATGTCCGGGCTGGTGCCAACCTGGACCGTTTTTCTTGGTGCTCGTGTTACTTTTTCGGTAGATCTCTCTTGTCTCGACTTCACTACCTCCATCAGATCGACACCAACGCTCATGATTCATCGACAGCTTTCCCTGTTGGAATCTTGGTATTCACTTGCAGGCGCGCCCGAGCGTTTCAATGCTGACCCCAGTTATTTTTTCCGTTGTTGTGGACCAGGTTTACCTGGACCCAGGCGTTACGGCGGGAAAGGTTGCGCTTGGTGTTGGGGCGGCGGTAACGGTGGCTGCCGGTGTCGGTTCGTGGGTGCTGCTCCGATCCCTCGACAAGAGGAAGCTTTTGTGACCTGAACGCCGTTCACATTATCACGGGCTCCCATCCGGCAGGAACACGTGTTGAGGGTGCTCGATTTACTCGACCATAATGGCTACTCCCAGAGGAGTTATGGCTTTTTGCTGCTCGAGGACTCGTAGCAACGCGAGTTGACCGTCTGATAGTCGTATATCCCGGACTCTCAGCTGGGGAAGAGACCAGTTCGTCGACAGCTTTGTAAGAAAAATAGAAAACATGGAAACGTCGTCATCCAAAGCGGCTGTTTCAGGCTCTCATTGTGAACACGAAGTGTTTTAAGCTTGTGTGCTTGTGCATTAGGCGGGCAAACTAGATCTGTGGCGGCGTTCGGAGTTCCACTCCTACGTTGCAGGAAGTATGGCTCGGGATAGAAACTCTCCCGCAGTGAACATAAGGAACCTGCTTTGTGCGGCGGAACCTGCTGATGTTGGTATACTTCAGCGCTATATGAAACCGTGGGGCCGTTGCGTCAGAGTATGAACGGCAACACGTTTTCCTTTGGTGAGCCCAGATGGAAACTCCAGAGTAGCGAAGGCGAGAGTGGGCGGTAGGCGAGACTGCTACTAGCGACGATAGTTCGTTTGGTGAAATCGACGGTTGGGGCGAGCTGCGTTGGTTGGTAGGCGGCACGTGTCTCTAGAGGTGCGGATTCGGATGTCAAGAAGTTCCCTTTTTTGTTCCAGAAAACGAACTCATCTGCATATCGAATAGAAAGTATTGTATGGGTTCAGGTTGGTTGAGGAACATCCGATGCGGTCGTTCAGACTCGTCCGGCGCGGCAAGAGTGCACAGATATTTTCCGTTTCATCCTCATTTGTGCCGTATAGAAGTACTCCCCACCTTTTCGCCTGGAGCGACACCTCCACGTTCGAGAGCGGCGGCATGTGGGATCCCATTTTTCTACGCGGAATGGACCTATTATATCTTTGAAAGGTCCTCATCGCCCCCTTTCATTATGTTCATTTCCGTGTCCTCTGCGCTTGGTTTACGTCGGATATGTTCCGGTGTTGGCAGTCAAGACTGATTTGTGTTGCTACAATAGACCAACGATCCAGACTTGTTTGGGTGAGGTTTCTTGTACAAGATAAACTCAGCGCTGACTTGTAGTCTAATGGTTAAACATTTGGCGTCCAAGGATGAATGGGCGGCTGAGTAGTCTAATGGGTAAGCCTTTCTAACATTCTGCTCGGACCCGCACCGGGGTGGGTGTTTCCGTGTCAGGTATCGGGCATTCGCCAATTCGAGCGGCCCACTTCTACCCCTCGCTGGCGCAGCATCGGGGGTCGATGCTTGAAGAACGCATCAAGGTAGCTCCCATGCCCTTGACTATTGGGTGGGAGCATCAGGTGGCGCCGTGAAGTCGTGCGACTTACTGTGCGGGCCTGGGTGATCTGCAGCCTGCGGTAGTCTGTACGGAACAGCCCTAGCAAACCTGAATGTGGGTCTTACCTTGGGCTGAAAATTGGCACGCAATAAGCGGATCTACGAAGTCATAATCTATGAGCAGGCGTGTTCACGCCCGGGTTTTCTACCGGGTCTTTCCCGTTAACCTTGGGATATTCAACTACTCCGCTGAAAATCGCCGATCAACCTACCCATAGCGGATGTCACGCAGGACGCCAGATACATCTGGAAAACAGCAGCGCAAGCGTCAGGTCAAACGGTAAGCAAGTGAGTCAGTCAGCGCGTTGCCTGTCATGCAGGTGTTAGATTCGTGGGTATGGGTGGGTCGATGTGGTGAGACAAGGAGCACCCAGATGCAGAGTACGAGTTGCGTACAAAGTACGAGGTGGTCTACTGTACGCTTGTCATGAATGCATGCTACGTTGCTGCGCGATACTTTGGCCATTCGAACAAGAGATTGAAAAAGGGAGAAGGAAAGAAAGATGTCTATGAAATGCTAATGCTTGCAGTGAACGCAGACACATTGGTAGACAACCAGTGTCACAACGTTCATTCGTCGTCAACACCACGGGACATCCTTCGCGGCAAGGTGATCACTGGCAACTCGTTGGTTTTCGCGGAATCTGGATTACTGTACCCCGTGTTGTCCAACCGGTGAGCGCGATTGTATTGGTACGACCTGTCGAAGGGTCTTCGTTGTAGACAAATTCGTCACTTCACCCTTGCAACTCGTAACGGATCGATCGGGGGTACAAGTTAATATTATATCTCCTGTGCATGAAGTCCAACCTCAATGAATGTAGACTATGGCCAATCACCTTTTTCCATCGTTTTGCCGCAGCTTGTCGACCGCTGACAACCTTTCTAATGCTGGACTCCGGGACCCTGTACATGGTATTCGGAGAGGCCTCCCCTTGCTTCTTTTCGCAGTCCCCGCCACCGCCTGCGACGTCGTTCTCCCCGTAAGTCTCGCGACCATCGGCCTGACCATCCTCACACTGCTAGCCCCACGAATGGCCGGGAGGAAGGCCAAAGGGCAAAGGAACGGAGTCCAAACAGACAGGCAGAGGACAACGATATACTGCGGGCTTCACAAAAACAATATTCATGACGAGTGAAACAAGCAGTTGGGGTCATAGCGAAGAGAGGTGGGGAAGGAAACTTATTCGGACCGGAAAGCTGCAGAAAACCAACTGTACTGTGTCGACTGCCTACATGAAGTTCAGGTCGAATACTGCAGTACACGAAGAACCTCATGTGCAATGATATATTTGCCTGAATCTCGTTGCCTGCTTCTTCACGTGTGACCTGCGTTGTGTGTAATCTGTAGGGCAAGACTTTCCTAACGTAATGGTGCATTCCAAGGCCACACTCCTTCGTAGTGGCATTGGTCCTCTCACCGACTCTAGTGCCACGTCGTATAGCGCCTGCTCCAGGTGAATGTTGACGACGGTCCCCCGAAGCCAGATCATTGTCCCTTCCAGCTGGCACTCCACCATGTCTCCCACCTTTTGTATGGTAAGGAGCGCTCTCGGTTGGCGTTTCATCCGTTGAGATAAGAGTTTTCTACTGTGCGTCAAAGTCTATCAAGTAGGGCATGCACGGGGCTCATGAATAAGGGCCAGCGATGGCGACAAAGAGGAGCTGGTTTTCTTCAATGTCGTCATCTTTTATATCGACACGCTACAATGGATGACTGTTCAGATACCCAACGTCTTGATTGTTCATAGCGCAAAAAGTGGATGAGTAGAGGAGATTGTTGGTCGACTTATGACCGCATATCTCGCCTACACTCAATGTCAACTCCATTGTCTCCTCAAACATACACCGGCTCTCTGTTTCTTCACCTTTTCTGCATCCCTCATTCATGACCACACTTTCAGGCAGCGAACGGTTCATCCAGCGTCATGTTTGGTGTGAAACAGGAATGAATATGCTTCATTCCGTGGGAAGTCTGAAAGGACTGCTTCGGCAAACACGACTTTAAACAAATCCACACCAGGCCTTTCGTAAGTCAAAAGA